TAGAACTCCGAGCAAGAGTAAGAAAAAGATCCAGAATAAGAAAAAGCCGAGGCTTCCGGGATGGGAGCTGAGAGTCACAAGGACCTCCGCCCACAAAGACGGCTCCGTGGGTCTGACCACAGCAGCGTGGTGAGTAGAGAAGTGGAGCAGGTGAGGGGTGGCAAATGGTGAAGTGGGCTGGAGGGGCCCTGGGAGGAGGGCATCTGGGGCCTCTGATTTAGCCAGTGTGCACCAGGAAGCCTCTGCCCGTTTCCCCAGGAATTCTGTCTCCTCAGAGATGTGCCCCCAGCCTTCTGGGACCTCAGTCTTCTTCTCCAAGCCCCGCCCCTGAGTTAGGAGTTAGCATGTGAATCCCACTGCCTGTCAGAAGGGTGGGTGGGGTTGAAAACTAGGCAAAGAGTAGGCTGTTGTTAAAAATCTGGATGTGGAGGTGAGAGGGTTAACTTGGAGAGCAGTCTGGCGTTCCTGGAGTGATTCCCCCTCTACTTGCTCCAAGCTGACCCTCTAGTAAGCCCAGGATGACACGAAGATGACATGTTTATAGGGCAAAGTGCATGAGAACTGCAGTGGGCAATCATTGCCCTTTAGTGTGGTCCCTGCTTCTGGGCCTTCAGGGGACACAAGTTAGAGAGAGAGCCTGCCTCATCTTCTAAAGGCCTGAGTGTGTGTGTGTGTGTGTGTGTGTGTGTGTGTGAGAGAGAGAGAGAGAGAGAGAAAATGTGCATGTGTTTAGACCTGGGCCTTTGCAGTTTGTGAACTATTGACTGTTCTCCAGTGTGATCCAGGCCTAGAAACATCAATATCCCAGTGACAACAACCCTCTGATCTCCCTGCTTAAAAAAAGGCTGAGCCCTCACTTCTGTGGTGATGGGTTGATGGATCACAGGAGGCTGACACCAGGGAGAGGGGGTGCCGTGGCTTTTCCTCCTCACAGAGAGGTGGGTAGAAGCAAAAGTTGCTGATTTGGGGCCATGCTAGGAGAGGTTTTAGATTTGGGGGAACAAACCTGTCTGTCCAGGACAGCCTTCAGTCTGTCCAGGCTGTCCATTCAAAATGAACCTGGAAACTCGACCGGCTGAAATAATAAAACAACAACGTTGGTGGCAATTATTAAAAACTATTTTTAAAATGTATGGAAATTTTCCAGGCTACCAGAAAGGTATTAAGGATATTATGACCAAGAATAGGCAAAAAATAAACACATAAATATATAAGTAGGATTCGCTCAGGAAATTGAGAGTTTATGCTTTGAAATATGCACAAATCATCTAGCCCGACACCTCCCACCATGGCTTCACTTGTGATATAACTCCCAGAAACCTTCCCAGAGACATGGCACTGCAGTTATGTTCACTGTTAGCTTTTGCAAGAAAAGTTTTGAATATTTTAAAATAAATATCTGCTCATTGGGAATTATTGATGCAAATCATGGTAACTGAATTCAGTATTCCCAGCTCTGGCCTAAGGGTATCCACACTGCCTCCTACCCACCCTGAGGACACAGGTCTGCTTCGTATGTGGTTCATATATAAGATTACTGAAATATCAAGGCTAAAGTCATTCACCCCATAGATATGTGAATTTTTAAAACTTTTCAATTCTTTGAGAACTCAAAATTTCCAGCTTTGAAGGGAAGTTTCAAACACATAAAATAGGTAGGAACTGGAAGCAAAGGACTTGGACTACAAATATATATTATTATTCAAGCTGCAAATTATCCCTTGAAAGATATCAGACAAAATGATAAAAGCAAAGAATACATCTTTGGCAAACCAGATGCTCTTTTATTTAAGAAATGACTAAAATGTATCGCCAGGTTATGTGTGTGGGTGTATGTGTGTGCGCGCATGTGTGTGTATGTGCATGTGTGTGCATGTGGATGGCTGCTTACTCTAGTAAGTAATAGAGGGGGTGACTTAATGTTGAGCACTCAAAGTTTGCTAACTAGTAAACTTCTTCATCTGAAGTCTCCTATTTCTTAATGCCAACCATACACACACACATACACACACACTCTCACGCATACACACAGAGTACTTTTTCAGTATATATGTGCATTTCCTCAAAAACAGAGCTAATCAATTTCTTCTAGCCAGATTTATCTGAGCATCGTGGAGATGGTCAAGCTTAAAGTTATTATTTTTGTAAAAACTACAGTGTGGAGAAACAAGACACTCCTAAATGGAGACAACTTGATTAAATGAAAAGCAGAGTGAAGATTTGAGTTCTATTTGTCATGTGCCTTTGGCAAGTTGATATAATAATCTGAGTTTGAATTTCTTGATCTGTAATGGGATCAATGCCATTCAGGATTAATTGGCAGAATTAATATCTTGATACACATAAAAGGGCATTGTTGTCCTAGTGTCCTATCCACATATGTGTCACGGCCCTTCACCACACTTTGTTTCTTTCAGATCATTAAAGGGAACAGTTCATCAACCCCAGATCTGAAGACAAAATTAGAAACTCATGATTTGCCACTTAGATTTCCTCCCACAGAAAGAAGTGGGCACAGGCATCACGCAGCCTTTGGGCCTGTCAGATCTGTAGTTAAACCAAGGCTAAGAAAGACTCATGATTATAATAACACCTGAATCAAAGGCATAGATTTATGGTAATTATGGGCTGCCCATCTAACTTCTCAAGAATTCTGGATGGTTTCACTGCCTTCTTGCCCTCTCCTCCCTTTCTCTTCCCTGTGCCTTTTGGTGATCCTCTCAGGGCAGCATTTGAAGATGTCACTTCTGCCTTATACATGATTAGATCTCCCCCTGTCGTGTGAGTGTGTGTCTGTGTATTCAGAGGAATCCCAAACATTTGGGAGTCATTACTTGAAGTCAGGCAGCCTTATCATACAGGGCAGCCTTTCTTGATAGGAATCTTTGCAATAAGGGGTTCCTTTGGCATGAAGGGTGCTGAATACAGATAATATGTGAGGAGCAAGAATATGTTGCTTCTGTACCACTCATTTTATATATGATCTAATTTTATATAATGATATTTAGTTTCTTGTATTATGTGTGCGTGTCTGTGTGTGTGTATGTGTGTGTGTGTGTGGTGTTGTCCTTTTTTTCCATTAAGTTTCAAAGTGCTAACCAGCCTTAGCTCATAGATCCCTATGAAATTCGTACTAGATAGGTGGTAAGCATTTACATCTCTTCCTTACATTTGTATGCTGAATATGATTTAAATGTTTGATTTCTCACAACCAGTCTCTTTCTCACTGGCGATGTGGCTCACAGACATCATCTGTAGTATATTACTTAATGTCATTATAGCAGTATCCGTGTTGCATTTATAAGATTGGGTGCCTGTCTGCTTGTTTGACATGCATTTCTTCCCCTTCATTTATTTTTAGACCTTAGATGCATCAACACAATCTTGGTAATTAATCTGAACTAGTTTTATTAAATGCCTATATTTACCATCTTTTAAATTTTCACAATAACCTTGTGAAGGTCAAAATATCACTCCTATTACACAAAACAGGGAACTGAGCCTCAGAAAGGATAAGTTACTTGGCCAGACTGCCAAGCTGTTAGGGGGATAGGGGTCAGGGAAAGAGCCCAATTTGAACTTGCTTTGATGTGACTCCAAAATCTGCCCTTGCTTTGTAGATTTTAGTGTAGAGCTTAGAAATCAGAGCCTTTTAAGATCTGTTTATAAAATTATTCATCTTGAATGGTTTTCAGAGGAGTGTGGGAGGTGGCAAATCCTGTTTGTGGAAGCCCCATCTCTTTGTGAAAAAGAAATGTTTTTAACGTGTGCCTGTCATATTTCATTTCTTAGCTCCAATAGTGATTGCATTATGCTCACGTTCTCCTCTTCATCCTTACAGAGTCCTGAAATCAGCACCTTGGTGATTCATTAAGCAAAAGGTCATCTGCAAATTTTGAGATCTGGTCTTGATTAATATATTTATGAGTTAACAACAGAATCTGATTATATTTCAACATTGGCTGTGATAACCAAATTTGGTGATCATTGTGTAAGATTATTTTTCACCTGACTTTTTAAGTTTTAATAGAATTGGCTTTCTTTAACAAATTTTTCTGATCAGGGCTCTGGTCCTAATCAAGAATGCAATGCAACATGGCAGGAAGACAAGAAGCTGGAGAGAGAGAGAAAAACACACAGACACACACACATAAGATTTGGAGGCAGATGAACCTACTTTTGAATCTCAGATCTCCGTACTAGCTGTCCTAAAAGCAGGGAGACTATATGCTCCCTGCTTTCTTTTTTAAAAAATTAATTTCAGAGAGAGTGGAAGGGAATGTGGGGTGAGAGAGAAATATCAATGTGAGAGCATAACTTCAGTCTGCTGCCTCCTGCATGCCTTCTACTAGAGATCATGCAATCTGGGTAAGTGCCCTGACAGGGAATTGAACCAGTGACCTTACAGTCTAAGGGACAATGCCCAACCAACTGAGCCACATCAGCCAGGGCTGCTCTTTGATTTCTGATGACACATTGTCAGTAGCTTCTTTGAAGCCTCATCCAGGTCTGACCACCTGTATTAGTGCCTTCAACTTGAGAGTGCTGATCAATTGGTACTTTTGTATAAGGTCTGGGAGAAACAAGGGTGACTCAGTGATCTATAGTATTGACTTGGAAGTGAGATAACGCATCTGCAGTAAGATATAAAGGCATATCAGTTTGTTTTATGTCATCTTTGTGTTGGCAAACATGCAGTCTTTGGCTACGAAATGCATAATCTGAAAACAAAAATTGAACCTCTTCTTGAAATTTGATGGTACTTTCTAGAAAAGATAATTAAATATTGACTCAGAGAATGATTCACATGTTGTTTTGAAAGGAGTGTGAATAGAATAGAATTAAGTGCAAAACCATAGAATTAGGCACAAAAATACATGGACTGTTTTTAATTATTATATTAATAATTGGCAACATTCAAGGAGTACTATTTGTCTTCCAGGAGCAATACAAATAATCTTATACAAATTATCGTATTACTTTTAAATTTTACAGATATTTGCTGAGCACCTAGTATGTTCCAGGCACCTACCACAGTGTGTGTGTGTGGGAGTGGAACAAAAGGTTGTGAACATTCGAGGCAATAGAAGATATATCATTGGGATGGCTAAACTGCTAGAGAAGTAAAGGTGAGATGGGAACGCTTCAGGCTGGGATGGATATAAAGGCTTTTGGTGTCAACCTATAAAAAACAGGAACCCTGTTCAAGAGGTAAAGCATTTATTTGGGATCAAAGAATTGCAATTTAGGAGCACAGATTAGGTCAGAAATCTGAATCGTGTCCCGATTTCAGGATGAAAGCAAGAGGTTTTTATGTGGAAAAAAAAGAATAATTACACGAAAAGAAGAAAAAATAACCCCTATTGGTGCTGACAAACTGAGCTCCTCTTGGCTATGCATGGTTGGTTACTTATTCTGTCCTCGTATAGATAGATCACAAGATGTTCACTTTCCTGCTGACGTCATAAACCATTGGAAAACAATCGAGGGTTAGGCCAGTCTAAAGGTTTGGCCCAGTCAAAGGTTTGAGAAACACGACTAGCAATGCAATTCCTCTGGAATGGCTGCTCTGCCTTCATTTTAAACTGGCTCCACTCATGTCAACTTTCACAGTGGTGAGAGTGATGTGTAAATTAGACCATGAATAGTAGAGAGGACGTGAAAAATGGAGTTTTGAAATGATTATAAGTACATGGCAGGCAAAAGAACTATACAAGCAAATGCAGGGAGATTAAAATTCCATCACCTATGACTTCAGTTTTGGATAATTATAACACCTACCTGATGAGAAATTGAAAAATCTATGTTGAAAAAAACAATCTATGCCATCCCTTGAAGAGATAATTGCCCTTATTTGCACATTTAAATCTCATCTTGGTTGTTGCTTCTTTTTATCCTGACATTTCTCTCCCACAGTTTTTTTAAAGGGACTCTTTTATTTAGGAAACGGTCAGAGACGCCCTCAGCCAGTCTGCCCCTTTGGTTTATGCCTCTAAGCTCAAGTGCAGATTTTGTGACCTGTCTTTATGTCTGTCTTAATACTACTGTTATAACTCTAGAAAGTGTGAACAGTGCACCTATGTCTTTGGAGGGGAAACTGGCCAAAACAGCATCCCTGCAGTGGCCAACGATGATAACCGGGAAGAGCTGTGGCCAGTGTGAGGAGGAACCAGAGTCCTGGGAATGTCATGTCTGTCCAGAGCACAGCCCTGCTCAGATCAGAAGGAAGCAATAGTGAAAGCTTGGCAAGAAACAAGGTACAACTTTACTGTGAAGGGTTTACCAGGAAAGCACAGAGCTTATTCTCAAATGCAGATAGGGATAAAAGGATGAGAAAGCTCTTATAGGAAACCCTACTTTTACATGTACATAAAAGGTATGTCTCCATTTCTGCTAAGATCCGCTGAATGCCTTTTATACTACCTGAGGTCAGCAATGTGCCTTTTCACTTTTCTTTTGATTGGCTGCCTCCTGCACATCCCACACTGGGGATCCTGCCCACAACCTGGGCATCTATCCTAACCAGGAATCAATCATCAATGATAAGAGAATTATTGATCGGCTGCCTCCTGCACGTCCTGCAACCTGGGCATCTGTCCTAACCGGGAATCAATCCATGACCTCCTGGTTCATGGGTAAATGCTCAACCACTGAGCCACCCTGGCATCAATGATAAGAGAATTATTGATCGGCTGCCTCCTGCACGTCCTGCAACCTGGGCATCTGTCCTAACCGGGAATCAATCCATGACCTCCTGGTTCATGGGTAAATGCTCAACCACTGAGCCACGCTGGTTGGGTCCTTTTCACTTTTCAAAATGCTTCTCTTGCCCAGCCAGTGTGGGTCAGTTGTTGAGCATGGACCCATGAACCAAGAGGTCACTGGTTCAATTCCTGGTCAGTGCACATGCCATGTATGTGGATATCTTTTATAATACATCTATTAAATCATTTTAAATGATTGTTCTACATACTAAGATTTAGCCTTTGTCCTTGAGGTTGCATATACTGAAGGGAATAGATAGCTATACAAACAGAAAAGTTGCAATTTAGAATGATAAGTGCACCAATTCCCAAGTTTGTTGTGAGGAATCCATAAGCTATGATAGAGGTTGACACAGTAGCTATCCAGTGAACAATTGGTTTAATATGTGTCACTCTTCAAAAAGAGCTTATTCAGGAAGTTTCTGTAAGCCAGGGAAATATTGGTCCAGAATATTCTTTTTGGCTCGGGGAAGATCATCAGACATGCTCTAGCACATTAGATTTTTAGTTCTGATCTGTCCATTAATTGAGTAAGTTTGGGGAAAGTCACATAACCTTTACTGAGCATTTAATTTCCTGGTCGGGCTATAAGCATCATGCTGCAATCCAGTGTCATGTCGGTGCTGAGTGAGACTGCTTGAATCTCAATCTCAGCTCTACTACTCACTAAATAATGACCTTGGGCAGGTGACTGTAACTTCTCTGTGTACATTTCCTTCTCTATAAAGTAAGCATAAAGATAATAGCCAGTTCATAAGTTCTTCAAGAGGCTGACATGAATCACCACATGGGACATAGCTAGCCGAGTGCCTCCTTTATAATATGTGCCCAATAAATGCTCACTGGAATGATTTTTATTTCTTCCTCTCCCTCATTTGAATGAAATCACCCATCATTAGAATGCTGAGTGCACTGTTCATTCAGGGTTAATGCCACAGCAGTTCTCTGAAGGAAAAGTAAACCTGCCTTATGCTCCCAGTTTTATTTTACCTGAATATTTTCTCTCTTTTTTTCTTTCCCCTGATTTCTCTTTGTGGCAGAGCAGCAGCAAGGACAATAACAACAGCTACAGAGTCTGGGGCTAACCTGCTAGAAACCAAGGATGAGAAAGAGCACCCCCTCAACAGTCCTCCACTGCGCCTGGGTTTTCTTGGGCAGGAATGCTCACACATGTCTTCAGGAACCACACAGCTGTGAGCAAAGCAGTTTTCCTGGCACCAAGCAGGAGGTTCCTGCTTCCCTATGGCTCATGTTCTCATTCAGGATTCAAGCCTGTCTTCATCCAAGCAGAGGCACCTGGCCTGTCCCTTTTCGTTTCAGCAGCTCCCACCCCCAGCCTCAGCCACAAAAAGGAGGGCTGCTACCTGAGGAGCCTCCCTGAGCCCCCTGATGAGCACAGAGTGCCTCCCAGACAACAAGGCTTTGGATTGGACAGGGGCTTCAGCTGTGACCCTTTCCTAGCAAACTGTGGTGTTGGATAATACCAGGAGGTGCTCCAGGCACCAAGGCCAAGGTTGAGGGGAAGTTGTCCTTTTCCTTCCTGCCTACCATTTAAGGGTCTGACTCCCTGAACCCTTTGTACATGTATCCTGGTGTCTGAGTGCATATACCAGTGCTCACAGCATTGGTTTGAATTAGCGGTTCTGCCTCTCTCTAGCTCTATGACTTTGAGCAATCAGTTCACTTCTCTGAGCCTCACATGTCTCATCTTCCTTCAATGTCAGGAAGAAAACATATAATGCCCTTGAGCCCATAGCTACAAATTAAAATTAGCCATGAATGTCTTTCAATAACATAATTTAGGGTTGGTTTCTTTATTTGGCAGTGCATGGCTCTGGCAGTATGAAAGCTCCATTCCCACAAAACCAGATCAATGACTGGGGCAATTGTTAAGGAGGCAGTATCCTCACTCTCTGAAGACTTACAAAACCAAGCATCAAGTTAGGGGAATAGGAATCTATATTTTTTACAAACTCCTCAAATGAACTGCGTCAGATAAATTTAAGAAATGGATCATGACCCATGTATAATACCAGATTTCTAGTCCCTCAACTTAGCCTGAATGACAATTGTTTTACCTGGTCCCCAGATCAGTATCTCCAAGGAGTTTTAGTGTCTTTACTTGAACAACTGTTTCATCTTTGGTGATTATGAAAATCACACAGTTGGAAAGGAGTAGCTTCATAAACCTGCAGCAAGGCTGATGAAAGGGATTTTTAAAATCATTTTGGGGAAAGAAACATCCCCAAAGACACTGTCATAGATAAAGAACCAGCTGCATTCCTCCATCACGGGCCAATACCACCCTTGTGGAATGGATAAAAATTCTGTTATCACCATTGGGGACTGGCTGAGTTGAGGCAGTAGCATATGGTTGACTTTTAAAACAAATCAAAATAAAACCAAACAGAAACTTCTGGTTGTTTAGCCCAGTGGAATTCTCAAAAGTCAATACAAAAGGCTAAGCCCAAGCACAACCTCACTCCATCTGTGCTTCATCTCCAGCCCAGAGAAGCATTACTTTATTGGGCCTGGCGTGATGGCATTCTTCCAACTCATGTTTGTTCATACTTCCTTGACGGCGCAGGTTTCTGTTTGAGCAGATGAGAAACTGCTAATCACGTATCTCATGTGCCTATTAAGAAGGAAGAAAAGTCACCTACCAAGATGACTTCCTGGTCCCAGGATAGACGGTGCCCCTATCTGGGGGGCAGGTTCTCATGGTGGAGGGCTACGGTAAAGAGGAGTCAAAGTTCTATGCTCTCCCCTTTTCCATGGTATAATCTTAACAATTTCAAAAACCAGATTTCTTAAAGTTGCACAAAAATGTTCATAACAGAATGATCTACAATAGGAAAACGTGAAAACAACCCAAATGACCATCCACGGAGGAATCAATGAACAGAATGTATCCCCATACAATGGAATATTATTTGTCAACAAAAGAGAATGAAGTACTGATATGTGTCACAACATGGATGAACCCTAAAAACACTATGCCAAGTGAAAAAAGTCAGTCAAAAGAAAAGCCAGACCTTTAAACCTCCAACTTTGGTCCTCACACAGACAAAAACAATAACAAATACTTTATGAAAAAGCAGGCAAGGGAGAAGGTATGGGAAGTAGGAGTGGGTGACAGGTATGATCAGTCTTGTCTACTCTTCACTTTTTAAAAAATTTAGTTATGGTCTGAAAGTTGTGGACTGCTTGAAAATAACCATAGCTTCTCTTTTTTTTCTGTTGGTTCACCTGCAAGAGGCACTCATGTTCTCTGTTCCCTAAATATTGTGGGGCTGTGGGATTTTGTGAGTGGGAGTTGGAGGTATCTGACCTCCAGTAGAGCAGGGGCCACAGCAAAGTGAGGGCATCCTTCCACTGAAGTGTTGTCCCTACAAAAAATGCAGGATATCAGGGCCATTTGCCTACGTGGTATGTTTTCTGGAAAATTAAAGAAACGAGAAGCAGATTTCTTAAGCATGAGTCCAGTTCTTTTATGGAGGAGGAGAGAGGCAGAAATGGCTCCTTTAAGTCAGTTCTGATCGTGCTGGATCCCTGAAACCCTTCACAAAAGCAGCTGGCCACTTCAAGAGTCTGAGTATCAGTCAAACCCAGAGAATTGTAGATCTTGAAAACCATTTGAGTAAAGGGTGTAAATACCAGAGCAGGGCCTGAAGGGACAGGTGCATGTTCTAAGTAGGAGCAGAGCCATTCATCACAACCAGTCGCAGGCACAGTCAGCACTAACTGGCCCAAACAAGAAGACAGGAGCCAGAGGAGCACAAATTCTAGTCGCAGAGCAAAGTAGGTGGGCATAAGTCTTACAAAGAGTAAATGGCTGTCAGAAGTCAAAGGGCAGGCCTAGCAAGCAAGGGGGGTCAGGAAGAAGAAGTCTCTTTCAACCTCAATAGCCATGTGTTTCATCCCAGAAGCCTTTGTTTCTCATACGGCAAGAGTACTGCTTTGATCCGAAGGCCTGTTGCCTTTCGTGCGGTATTAATTGAAAGTATCCATGAGGGAAGCGGGCTGATGGGGGCTTCTTGTCTCCCCTCTCTTAAAGGGAGAACAGCTTGGGATTGTCCCTGATGGAAGTCCCATGAATGGTGGCAGAGCAAAGTCTCAGAGCTTAGCTTCTTTTATTTGTAACCACAGTGACCCAGTGCCCCTCACACATGGGAGCCTTTCATTGAAGTTCTGCTCAGGGGTTGCTGGGTCTGTTCCTCTGAGTTCTCAGAAAGAAACTTAAAGAACGGGGGCATTAGGATGCCCTCAGCAGGGAGACCAGACCCATCTGTGAAGGGCACTGATGCATTAAAATGTATCTACATATCTGTCTATCTATCATCAATCATCTATCATCTATCAATCTTCTTTTACTACTTTTTCTTTCATTCTCTTTCTTCTTCCCCAATACAGTTGACATTCAATATTATATTAGTATCAGGTTTATAGCATAGTGTTTAGACATTTATATAACTTACAAACTGATCCCCTGATAAATCTAGTATCCACATGACAATATATACAGTTATTATAATATTTTCTATTCCTTTTCCTGACCTTCCCAATATTGTGTGAGGGAGATAGCCTCTAAAAATGGCAAGATAATTAAAATACTTTTTTATATTGTCAACTTTTCATTCTTTTTTTTTCTTTTGTGACAGTTGAATATGAGCCAAGAATAAAATCATTGCACCGGTCACACTCAAAGCTGGACATTTGGATGGGACAGCCCCTTGGAAGCCATATAACTCTGTCCAGTGATGGTAAAACTGTGAGGACTTCAATGTGATTACCTTCCAGGTGACAGTGCATCACTCATGAGAGCCTCGTGGCCTTATATGTCTCATCAATTCAATAGAGAAGCTGTGCTTCCTCTCAGCCCCTGTCCTTGCCCACAGTGCTATCTCCCCCCTTGCCAGACGAGCTGGTTTCAGGGCTGGTGGCTGTGCATGTGGAAGCATTTGCTATTGTGGGGCCTCTGTGGCAGAAGCTTTGCAGATCAAACCCCTCCCTGTCCTGACCCAACTTGAGGGCAGAACTCTAATGTCTCTATCTGCCTCACTTAATAGACTGTAAACCTTGTTTATTTTTCCTATAAAAACCTTTTTTCATCATTCCACTTTTTCTGATTAGAAAAGCAAGGAATTCATGATGTAATAAATATCAAGCAATCTACACTAATAAAAGAGAAACATGGTAATTAGCGTACGACCGCTACCCTTCCCATTGGCTAATCAGTGAGTATATGCAAATTAACTGTCAGCCAAGATGGCGGCCGGCAGCCAGGCA